TGAAGCTTAAGTGAGGATTTCCTTGCAATGAGTAGAATTTCCCTTCTGTCCCTTGTCACAAGTTTAAAAACCTCACAGCTTGTATAATGTAACCATTTGGGGTCCGCTTTTAACTTGGACTAGTGTAACTCCTTCATGCAATAAACTGAAAAGAGCCAAAAAGAAATATGATCTCTAGCGTAAAGATGGGGAAACAGGTTTGGAGAGACCACTTCTCAGTGAAGGTTTGGAAGAACAGGGAGAAAAGTTGCGTCCCAATTTTGCAAGAACTCTTTTGCTATATCCTACATAACCCAACCCAGAAAACATGATCTATGCAGTAAGTGACTTGACACTAGTAACAGCACTTAAAAGTCACTTTGCAAAAGCCAGTCTTGGGATTTTTTTCTCCTCTAAATTCCACTTGCAGATAATAGACAGTTGTGGTGTTGAGTAAGTATAATCTAGATGGAGGCCTCCAGCCTGGTTGGGAAGAAGGGTTATAGGTAAAATTTGAAGGAGTGGGACTTAGCAAGATCTAGGTGAATGAAACTGTTCAGGAGTAAAGAATTGAAGTAGAGGGGCTGGGAAGGTGGTCAGTAGTAGAGCGCTTGCCTTGCATTCATGAGGCTCTGGGTTCGATTACTCAGCACCACATAAGCAAAAAGAAAAAAGCCGGAAGTGGCGCTGTGGCTCAAGTGGTAGAGTGCTAGCCTTGAGCTGAAGAGTCGAGGGACAGCACCCAGGCCCAGAGTTCAGGCCCCACAACTGGACCCAAAAAAAAAAAAAAGAATTGAAGTAGAGGAAAGAGCAGTATATGTCATAAGGATTTGGGCTTTTTTTTTTTTGGTCATGAAGCAGGATTCTAACTCAGGGCCTTGTATCCACTTAGCTTGCTTGCTTGATTGGTGCTCTACCACTTGAGGCATGCTTTTCTAGCCAATTTTTGCTAGTTATTTTGTTTATTTTTATTTTTTGCCAGTACTAGGGCTGGACTCAGGGCCTGTGTACTGTCCCTGAGCTTCTTTTGCTCAAGGCTAGCACTCTACCACTTGAGCCACAGTGCCAGTTCTGGCTTTTTCTGCGTATGTGGTACTGAGGAATTGAACCCAGGGCTTCATACATGCGAGGCAAACACTCAACCACTAAGCCACATTCCCAGCCTTATTAGTTATTTTTGAGATGAACTGTTCTCTGTGGGCTGACTTCACATCATAATCCTCTGATCTCAGCCTCTTGCATAGCTAGGATTACAGGTGTACACCACCAACACCTGCCTGGACATACTTTTCTTTTTTTGTTATTGTTGTTCATGTAGTAAGTAAAGCATTCTGTTAAAAAACTTTACAATCATTATCCTTGTAAAACCTTTCACTAAAAAGTAAATTGAAGCTGGGTGCCAGTGGCTCACCCCTATAATCCTACTTACTCAGGAGGCTGAGATCTGAGGATCTCAGTTCAGAGCCAGGCCAGGCAGGAAAGTCCGTGAGATTCTTATCTTCAGTTAACCAGCAGAAAACTGGAAGTAGTGCTATGGCTCAAGTGTAGAGTGCTCGCTTGGAGCTGAAGAGCTCAGGGACAGCGCCCAGGTCCAGAGTTCAAGCCCCATGATGTACAAAAACAAAGTAAATGGAGCCAGGCATGACAGTTCACACATCTGACACCAGGTCTTGGGAAGATGAAGAAGGAGGATTACAAGTTCAAATCCACCTTGGACAAGACCCTGCCCCATTAAAAAAAAAAAAGAAAGAAAGAAATGGGGCCTGGGAAGGTGGCTCAGTGGTAGAGTGCTTGCCTCCCATGCATGAGGCCCTGGGTTCAATTCCTTAGCACCACATAAGCAGAAGAAGCCAGAAGTGGTGCTGTGGCTCAA